TTTCTTTTCATTAAAAAGTAGGAAAAGGACACAAAAATAGACATTTATCAACAGAAGGCATACAAATGACCAACAGGTATATGAAAAAAATGCTCAACATCACTGATCATCTGGGTCATGTAAATAAAAACCGCAATGAAATATCATCTTACCCCAGGTAGTATAGATATTATTAAAAAGACAAAAAATTGGCTGGGTACAGTTGCTCAGTATAATCCCAGCACTTCGGGAGGCTGAGGCAAGAGTATTGTCTGAGCCCAGGAGTTCAAGACCAGCCTGGGCAACTTGGTGAGACCTCGTGTCTACAATAAAAATCACAAAAATTAGCCGGGCATGGTGGCGTGCGTCTGTAGTTGTAGCTACTTGGGAGGCTGAGGCAGAAGGATCGCCTAAGCCCAGCAGGTTGAGGCTGCGGTGGCTGTGAGCATGCCACTGCACTCCAGCCTGGGTGACAGACTGAGACTCCAACTCAAAAAAAAAAAAGTCAGAACAACCATTGTTGGCAAGGATGTGGAGAAAAGAGAACCCTTGTACGCTATCAGTAGAAAGTAAATTAACAGCCACTATGGAAAACAGCATAGAGAGATCTCAAAAAACTAAAAATACTTGTGGGCCACAGCAGTGTGTGCCTGTAGTTCTACCTACTTGGGAGGCTGAGACCAGAGGATCACTCGAGCCCAGGAGTAGGAGACAAGCCTGGGCAATATAGTGAGACTCTGTCTGCAAAACAAACAAATAAACCAAAAATCTATAAATGGAATTACCATAGAATCTAGCAATCTCACTACTGAGTACTTAGCCAAGGGAAGATAAATTGAGGCATCAGAGGGATTCATGTACTCCCATGTTTTACAGCATTGCTCACAATAGCAAAGGTATGGAATCAACAAGTTTCCATCAACAAATGAATGAAGAAAATGTATTATATATACACAGCGGAATACTATTCACTCATGAAAAAGTGAAATCATGCTATTTGCAGCAACATGGGAACTAAAATGTATATCACATGGATGTAAAGTGAAATGATGGATACCAGAGACTGGGAAGGGTGTTTATGTGGGAGGGAGATGAAGAGAGATTGGTTAACGGTTACAAACTTACAGATAGAAAGAATATGTTGTATTTGTTAGATGAGTAGGATGACTGTAGTTGACAACGGTATATTGTATTTTTCTTTTTTTTTGAGTTGGAGTCTCACTCTGTCACCCAGACTGGAGTGCAGTGGCCGCTCCCGGCCACCGCAGCCTCGACCTGCTGGGCTCCGGCGATCCTTCCGCCTCAGCCTTCCGAGTAGCCGGAATTACAGGCATGCGCTACCACGCCCAGCTGATTTTTTGATTTACTGTAGAGATGAGGTCTCACCAAGTTGCCCAGGTGGGTCTCAAACCCGTGGCCTCAGGCAAACCACTCACCTCAGCCTCCCAAAGGCGCGGATTACAGGCTGAGCCACCGAGCCCGGCTGTATTTTTCAAGATAGTTAGAAGAGAGGACCTGAAATGTACCTAACATGTAGAAATGATAAATACTCAGGTGATGGCTATCCCAAATACCCTGACTTGATTGACACACATTCTTCATATGTAACAAAATTTCATATGTGCTTCATAAATATGTAGAAATGTATCTCCAAAAAATTTTACAAATAGCCAGTTATTTAATATAACTGGTTATTCATGGTTATTCAGTAGCTGAAGATAATGCCTTACTTTATAATTTACATAGTCATTTGATCCTCTTAGCCACCTTTTTTTTTTTTTTTTTTTTTTTTTTAAGACAGAGTTTCAATTTGTCCCCCAGGTCAGAGTGCAGTAGTGCAATCATAGCTCGCTGTCATCTCATATTCCTGGGCTCCAATGATCCTCCTGCCTTAGCCTCCCAAGTAGCTGGGACTACAGGCGCATGCCACCACACCCAGCTATTGTTTTTTGTTTGTTTGTTTTGATTTGTTGTAGAGACAGGATCTTGCTTTGTTGCCCAGACTATTCTTGAAACTCCTGGGCTCAAGCAATTCTCCCACCTTGCCCCCCAAATACTGGGATTACAGGCATTAGCCACCATGCTTGGCCTTAGCAACTTTTTAACATATGTTTTAATTACTCTGTACCTACGCACCTCAGGTAGCTTGGGGTCATATACTTTGGAAGCACAGATAAATAGCTAAATTCCCTGAGTGATCAGAGAGTTAGAGGGATGTTTTAACCTTCCTTAGAGTAAGTTAGGTCTTTCACTGTGGGACTAGGAATTTGAATTTACCTTACCTAGTATATTTTCCCAGTATATTTCCCACATTGTGAGAATAAGCTATATTTGTAAGGTATCTCTTAAGGATTCCTACCTGCAAGAAGCACTTAGAAAATGAATAATAACTACAGCATCTGTTCTCCAGTTAATTGTTTCAGACCTGTATGTTGGTGATAAATTGTCTCTGCACATACCTAATGCTTTTCTTTTACACAAGTTCATTCATAAAGTTAAACATGTACAAATGTCTTTTGGATAGTGTGAGGTTATTTGAAAAGTCATGCCTGAGTCTGATCTGCCTGATTCTTTTGCTTGCTTGTAGACATGACTGCATTATTACTTACTAATTGATTATCTTAACAGTCAATTAGTGACTCCAATCATTCTAATTACCTGCCATTGTTTAAAGAAAAATAATAACTGCAAGCCGGGCTCGGTGGCTCAGCCTATAATCCCACGCTTTAGGAGGCTGCGGTGAGTGGATTGCCTGAGCCTGCGGGTTCGATACCCACCCGGGCAACTTGGCAAAACCTCATCTGTACAATAAATCAAAAATTAGCCGGGTGTGGTAGCTCGCGCCTGTAGTTCCAGCTACTTGGAAGGATGAGGCGGAAGGATCACTGGAGCCCAGCTGGGCGAGGCTGCGGTGGCCGGGAGGAGCCACTGCATTTCAGTCTGAGTGACAGAGTGAGTCTCCAACTCAAAAAAACAAAAAAGAAAAGAAAAATAATAACTGCCTTATTTTCACTGAGGAAGTAATGAAAACGACATCTACTGTATTCAAAGACCCAGGTTTATAGCAATTACTAAGAAAATTCTCTTAAGCTGCTGAGAAATTTAGAAATTCTAAACTACTCACCCACAAATAAATCCTTATTTTTTTTCAAATTGCTTTTAATTAAGGAATTTAATTTTTTTTAATTACAGAGAAAAAAATCCTGCAATTGTGCTGGACTGTTTTCATATGTTTGATTCCTTATTGCAAATAAAGTTTTTTTGGTAGAGAGTATTACTTGAACATATCATTTTGCCCATTTTTAAAATTCATGATACTTCCTGTCCCTTCCTAAATAACCGCCTCATTCCATTATATGACATTTGATTTTTAAAGTAATGAGAAGACTGGTTTATGTGGTGCATGGATGTGTAAGAGAGACAGAATTGAAGGTTTATTATCTATCTTATTACAGTTTTTGTATATAATATTTACCCAGTTTCACATGCCAGTTATATTTAAAATATTTACTTACCTTAGAAAGACAAAAAACCACCTATTAGGAAAGTGATACTGAGTTTCTAGTAAAATGCTTTTTTACTCATGGCATTGAGCTTGTCTTAGAAATAGAGTTGGTGATTACTGTAGTAGTAACTTTTCCTTGGTGAGATCCCAGGTGGACTTGCCTTATAATGTATTCGACTCTTATCTGTTTCTGGAATCAAATGGCTCTTTTCTATACTGTTTGGAATTCATACATTGATGTCTTAAGGATTTTGTTAAATGCTTCCTGCAATTAGTAAAGCCCATCATGTCTACCTCTTTGTTGACATGAATATTTTGTTAAGTAATTTGAAGTAAGTTTTAGCAACTGAGACTATTTGTCTACATAATGGTTTGATTTTAAAGCTATTGTTATTCTCTGAATCACGCTAAATGGGACAATAATAGAATATGTAAATATGGGAAAATCAGATAATACATTACCATTTTAAATTTCTTTTTTTTTTTTCATAATTTAAGAAAAACCTTGTGCTATGAACTTTTCACTCCTCAAGAATGTATACCAGGGGTGCCAAAAATAAAAGTGTACACATTTTAAGAGATGTTAGCTGGGCTCGGTGGCTTAGCCTATAATACCAATGCTTTGGGAGGCTGAGGTGACTGGATTGCCTGAGCCCGCGGGTTCAAGACCCGCCTGGGCAACTTGGCGAGACCTCATGTCTACAATAAGTCAAAAATTAGCCGGGTGTGGTATCGCGCTCCTGTAGTTCCAGCTTCTCGGAAGGCTGAGGTGGAAGGATCACTAGAGCCCAGCAGGTCGAGGCTGTGGTGGCCGGGAGCGGCCACTGCACTCCAGTCTGGATGACAGAGTGAGACTCCGACTCAAAAAAAAATATGTTTTCTAGATGTTCTAGAAAATCTTTTATTTACTTTTTATTGAAAAACAAAATGAGGAACAGCCAAATTAATAGGCTTCAGCTAAATATTACTGTCTGTTGTTTTCAAATTCTCAAATGTCTATACATGCTACCATAACTATATTTGTTGTATCATAAGAAGCTGTTGCTCTTAGGTGTATTGTTTTTGCAGTATAAACTGTTCAGTGAGAGGATTGCTTGAGCCTGAGGGTTCAAGACCAGCCTGGGCAATTTCATAAGATCTCATCTCTACCATAAATAAAAAAATTAGCTGGGTGTGGTGGCGCATGCCTGTGGTTCTAGCTACTCAGGAGACTGAGGTGGAAGAATCTCTTGAGCCCAGCAGGTCAAGGCTGTGGTAGCCATGAGCATGCCACTGCACTCTATCCTGGGCAGCAGAGATGAGACTTCAACTTAAAAAAAAAAAAGAAAAAGGAAAAAGAAAGTCCACAACACTGCAGAGCAAATTCTAGTATGATTTCAACTATGATTAACAAGATATTCAAACTTCTAAGTTGCTTTATTTTGATACAAGAAATGTATTATACTTTGGATTCTTATAACAGGATTATCCTGTTAGAGTATTTTTCCCTGAAAAACATTTTTTTCTTGACTTGTAGAGATGCACAAAGACTAGAAGAATTCTTCACCAGAAATCAACAGCTAAGAGAACAACAGAAAGTCCTTCATGAAACCATTAAAATTTTAGAAGATCGGTGAGTTTGTCACTTGGGTCTTGAGTAAGAGGTGATTTCTCCCATAATATGAAGTTCATTTATTAATTTTTATTTATAATTTATTGGTTTTTAACTTAAATTATTGGTTTTAATTTATAATCAGTTTTGGAATTGAAAGTGATCTTTTCCTCAGCCTTCTTTGAGTGAGTATTTTATGAAATTAAGTATCTATTCTTACAGGTTTTAATTATAGCAGTTCTCTAGGGGATTAGAGTTAATACTGTATTATCACTAGTGTGTCATAGCATGGATTAAATGGGATAATGCAAGTAACAGTATATAATAGAAGTTAATAAGACTTAGGTATCTTAGTGAATATTTGAGAGGGTACCACCCCAAAAACCCAGAATTTATTTATAAAAAACTTTATATTTATTCTTACATGTTTAAACTTAAGTCGCCTTCACAGTACTCCTTGTTTGATGCAATACACCTATTGAGACTCTTTTTCCACTGCCCAAAACAGTTTTTGAACTCATTGATTTTTTTTTTGATTTGGAGTCTCACTCTGTTGCCCAGACTGGAATGCAGTGGCTGCTCCCGGCCACCGCAGCCTCAACCTGCTGGGCTCCGGTGATCCTTCTGCCTCAGCCTTCCGGGGAGTAGCTGGAATTACAGACATGCGCTACCACGCCCAGCTGATTTTTTGATTTTTTGTAGAGATGAGGTTTCGCCAAGTTGCCCAGGCGGGTCTCGAACCCATGGGCTCAGGCAATCCACTCACCTCAGCCTCCCAAAGCACAGGATTACAGGCTGAGCCACCGAGCCCGGCTTGAACTCATTGATTTTGATGCCTTTTAGTGCTTCTGCTGTTTTTTTGTTTCACCTCTTTCACATGGGAAAAATGTTCCCCTTTGAGGACTCTTTTCATCTGAGAAAACAAAAACAAAGAAAAGTCGCTCAGAGTGAGATCGGGTAATAGGGAGTCATGCCATTTTTGGTGAAAAACTGCTGAACACTCAGCACAGTGTGGACAGGTGCACTCATAAATCACCCATCATGAAATGGGCAAACACTTTGAAAGAATCTAAAAAAAAAATTCACTGAAGCTGAACGCAGCCTCTCCCAGTGCTAGCTGGTACACTGATGCAGATGGGTTCTAGAACACTTACGTAATGGGGGAAGTGTGTACTACAAGGGGCTTGCCCTCAAAAAAAATAATTCTTTTGGGTGGGTCCCCCTTGTATACTACAGCCAGATCTATTCTCTCTCTAGGTGAGAAATGAGGAAGCTAGAAAGCCATCTCTCCCTCAAACTCTTCCCCAGTCCAGCATTGAAAAGGGGAATCATGAGTTACTCTGCTGTTAGTGGTGAGGCACTTTCTTTGGTTTTCTCTGAATATGTAGTAGAGGATTTGGGGAGCATATCTTTCTCAACCTTTAGCTCTCCGGCAATTTAAGAACTTCCTTCTCTTATTTTGCCCTCTTTTTTCTCTCATCTTTACCATTCTACCAGTTTCCACAAACACTGAGGGAGGCTCTTCTTTCTCTATAATAGTGGTAGTAACAGCAAGAAATTAGGAACTCTTTCTGTCCCATGATTCCCATGGAAAGAAAATTTTAAAATCGGCATTAATAACTAAATGTTACCTGAGTTCTCTGAGAAACAAACATCAAGATGACTTTGGACATTAGAGAGGTTTATTGGGAGAAATGCCTATAAAGAAATTGAGACGTCTGGGAGAAATGTCAGACCTTCAGGCTGCTAACCCTGTGAAGCAGAGAGGGAAGGTCTTAGCCTGCATTGCAGTTGTAGGAGAACTTTGACCACACTAACAGGGCATTCTGGAACCATAGTATCCCTGCTGTCTTCACCTTTTGGCAGAATCCAATGGTGGGATGCCTTCTGTTTTCACCTGGATGAACAGTGAAGGATTTTAGAGCACAGAAGGTAGAGCCAGTGATATATTCCTCATAGTAGGAGACAGTGCGATCATGTCATAGCTGCCACACTCCAGGACCTGATTATATTGATTTCCAGCACCCTTCCTATTTAGTTGATTATTTTTTTTTTTTTTTGAGTTGGAGTCTCACTCTGTCGCCCAGACTGGAGTGCAGTCGCCGCTCCCGGCCACCGCAGCCTCGACCTGCTGGGCTCCGGGGATCCTTCCGCCTCAGCCTTCCAAGTAGCTGGAATTACAGGCATGCGCTACCACGCCTAGCTGATTTTTTGATTTATTGTAGAGATGAGGTCTCGCTGCCCAGGCGGGTCTCGAACTCGCGGGCTCAGGCAATCCACCCACCTCAGCCTCCCAAAGGCGCGGGATTACAGGCTGAGCCACCGAGCCCGGCTTTAGTTGACTATTAGCAAGTGTTTGGGGGCCCAAAGTTAACACACTTCACAAATTTGTAAGGTAATATTTTCATTATGTTTTGCATGAATTGGCTTCATATAGTTGTCTCTCCATTTCATCCCTGAAGATAGAATGTTCATCTTGCCCTGGAAGACATCCTAGTGTCTTCACAACTTTTCTTCACTTTATGGTTTAAAGACTGGGCTTCCACTTCTACTACCCTTTGCATTTTGTGAGCTTTTCTTTTTAAGTGAGCTTTTCTTCTTCAGGCCCTTTCTGAGAAGAAATGTCAGTGGATAAATGTGCCACTCTTCCCATTGAATTGCTTTTCGTTATTCGGTTCATTTATTTTATCATTGAAATTATCTTTTTCTATAGTTTCTTAAAACGATTTTTTTCTCTTTATGATCTATTCTAGCTCTTGTCATTAATATCTTGTGGATGCCATGTTTCTTTGCTGTTTCTCATTCTAAACATTCTCTTGCCTTTCATTCCGTTCACCTTTACATCCTTAGGCTCATGGGTCTATAATTCATTGCATGGTATTAATTGGTGTTGGGGAATGGAGGAGGCGTGAGGAGTGTGCAGCTCTTTGCTTTATATACTTGCTTTTCTCTCCTTTCTTCAAATATAAATTCAAAATTTCCTTCTGGGCACACTTTAAAGATTTATCTCATGTTTCTTGAAGCCTCATTTCATTGAACTCAAGGTCATTTTTTTTTTTTTTAATGTAGGAGCTGATATGTATTGAGGATTCACTTTGTTCCCAGGCATCTAGCACTTAGTCTTCGTATTAAAACTACAGGGTAGGTGATAGGATCCACTGGACATGTGAGAAAACTGAGCTAAGAGTTGAGAAATTTTCCTAGGATCACATAGTTAATAGATAATTAGGTTAAACCTGATCCATCTCCCACCTCATCAGTTTTTGCTATTTCATGATGCCTTGTCTTCATGTTATCTTAATTTTATTAATGTTGTGTAAATTAATTACACCTTAAATGATTATCTCAAAGTATTTGTGCTTGACCTAAAGTTACCAAAGCAGATACTCTGAAATAGTAAGACTTCAGCACTGCCTATTATCTAGTCTTGGAGCTTTTTAAATTTTTAAAAAATTGCTGCCAACTAAATGCTACCTTTAAATGTCTAAGTAGGTAACTTGATAAAGTTCTATTTGTAATTTCATTTTAGTTTTATGTCCTATGTAAGATTGATATCTAGAGCAAGCATTAAAATCTGTAAATAATAACCGGACTCCGTGGCTCAGCCTGTAATCCCGCGCCTTTGGGAGGCTGAGGTGAGTGGATTGCCTGAGCCTGTGGGTTCGAGACCCACCTGGGCAGGCGAGACCTCATCTCTACAATAAATACAATTTTAAAAAAATTAGCCGGGCATGGTAGCATGCGCCTGCAGTTCCAGCTACTTGGAAGGCTGAGGCAGAAGGATCACCAGAGCCCGGCAGGTCGAGGCTGCGGTGGCCGGGAGCGGCCACTGCACTCCAGTCTGGGCGACAGTGAGACTCCAACTCAAAAAAAAAAAACTCTGTAAACATTAATGTTTTTCTGAGATCTTTAGACAGTAACATGTATTTTGTTTAAAATTTGTTTTGTTTTGTTGTGTTTGAAGACAGGGTCTCATTCTGTTGCCCAGCTGGGAAGACAATGGCACAGTTATAGCTCACTGTAACCCCACACTCCTGGGCTCAAGTGATCCTTCTACATCAGCCTACTGAATAAGCATGTGCCACCACAACCAGTTATTTTTTTGTTTTTTAGAGACAGGGTCTTGCCATGTTGCCAGGCTGGTCTCATACTCTTGGCCTTAAGCTATCCTCCCACCTCTGCCTCCCAAAGCACTGGGATTATAGGCATGAGCAACCACACCTGGCATATTAAAATTTCTAAACAGTAATTCTAAAACTTGCTACCTACTCTTCATAAAGCAAAGCGATTCTTATGATGTTATGAAAACATAGTAAAATATTTAGATGAAGGAAATTATCTAGTAAAGGTAAATTAGATAATAAAAAGTTCTAATTTTATATGGCTCATTTATGTTTAACTATTATTATTACATTTCTAGACTTTCCTTCAGGAAACCAAAGTATTTCACTAAATCTAAGAAATAGTCACTGTGCTAGAAAAGTAGATAGGATACATTTTTAAAAATCTAAACAAAGCAGTTAAAACATAACTGTTTAATAGAGATTGATATTTTTTGAAGCATTTGGCGGTCATAGAATTCATATTTCAGCTTTTGTTAACAGGAAAATTGGTACTCATAATCAAAATATTTATGATTTTGCAGCTGTTTTTCAAACACTGGACCAAACCTCCTTTTTTGTGTTACTCACTCATAGATTTGAATTTAAACATCATGTTCTTCAAGAAACCTCCAACTTTCTAAACTAGATTTGGTTGCTGTGTTCTTTCATAATGCCCTGTATTCCTGCTATCACAATGTGAACTATACATTGTTGTAATTACTTTTTTATTGCCTGTTTTTCTCTGGTAGACTGTAGGCTCTTCAAAAGAAGTGGCATCATCTTAGTTACTGTTGTATTTCCAGCACTGAGTACATTGTAGGTATTCAGTGAAACCATATTGAATGAAAGAATAAGTGTGAGGAAATCTTGTTGGATAGTAAATGATTGCATATACTTATTACTCTGGTAAGTTTTAAT